CAGAAGAATTATATAGTATGTCATTGATTTGTATTAACCTGTTGTTATGCTTTGAGTTATTGCACTCAGAAAATAAAATGCCTGCAAATCAGAACACTGATAGTTTGTATCAAGAAACTGTACTTGAAATATACGGTGAGATAATAGGTATTATGTTTCCCCAAACTTATTTTTACCTTTCTTGTATATACACAACCATATTATATGATTAAAATGTCAGTTTCCATCATGTAGATTAAATAAACTGCACTGCAATCTCTTGTTTCAGTATCATATAGGAAATTTTGCTGGAGATAACAGTGTGAGTTGGAATACATATTATTATCTGTCAGACAGTAATCTAGAACTATGCAAAGGTTTTCCTTCCCACTTTGTATAGAATATTGTTTATATTCTTTTCTGTAGTCTGCATGTAGTAAGAACTACATGTAGTAAGGACTCTTGTAACTTCAATGAGCTCTGAGAGACTAAATGTCTTGATGACCTATACAGATATAATGTCTTCTGACACATTTGCCTAACACAAATGTAACAAACTATATAAATTTCAAACTAAGTGTAATAAATGCTTCATTTTGTCACGCATGCCTGCTTATCTAAAATTCTGGATTTTGATTAGTGAATTATGAAAATAACTATCTGTTGCCATCAATTCAAAATGTTGTTCATGTTCTTCAAAGGCAGTGATAAAATGTGTCAAGCTGCAGTGGAAGAGGAGATGGACACCTTACTTCATATCCCATGAAATACTGTATTTTAAGCAATTCTTTTATTCATCAGTGACACCAGAAGTAAACTCCCAAAGCCCAGAGAGTAGCCAGTCATATCACATGGAGATGTTATGCCAGAAGACTAACCATACTTTGTTTTCTTTCTGGCTTTTGACGACATTGTTTGCAGAAGTGAGAATACTTTTGAGTATACAAGAATACCACTTGTTTTCCTTTTTTTGATTCAGAAAAAGAAAAATCCTACTTTGGGCTTGGGTGTTTTGTGTGTTGGTTGTTTGGATTTTTTTTAATTGCTACTTAGGTAAGATTTTTGTTAAAGCAATTTCTATCTTTACACTTACTTGCTTTTAAATTCCCTTTATAGCAACTGTGAGACTTCTGTTGCCTTATCCTTTGGTATTCACCATATATTGCTTAGGACTTATCAATTACTGTGAAGAGTGCTACATTTCCATTTCTTAGTTTTCCATCAGCTTCTCATATGTTCAACACAAGTTAAAGTAAATGCATTAAAATTTTAATGTGTGCTGCAACTGGTGGAAATCTAAGTTACCAGAATTTTACAAGTGGGAAAACTGTAGGTTGAATTAGAAAAAGTGGTAGGGAACTTCTCAGCTAGTGTGAGTCTTGTTACATGGGACCCAGACAGCCTTCAGCACGCTGAAGTAATGCTCCTCTAGGAAGGCAGATCTCAGCTCAAATCCTTTTTCTCTTACGTAGTCTACAGATATGCCTTATATCATTAATTCATTCCAGAATGGCCAATTAAGCAGGGGTGGTTGTAGCTTTAGATAAATACCTTAATATTTATCCAAGCTGCTTTGTCCAAGCACCTAGCACATCCCATTTACTGTTCCATTAAGTTTTTCTGCTCATCTGTCACTCTGAAAGTGTTATAACTTCTTAACTCATCACAAGGAACACGTATGACGTGTTTATTTGCAGGTGAAATTTTGGTGTTTTGGTCAGCAAGGCTCTCAGAAGGAAATCCAGTTGTTGTGATGATGTTGCATTGCATGTGTGCTGATGAGTGATGGGAGTTCAATGACACCATGCTGTAAAAGACCTCAGTGAAAACTCAGCAGAGCTTTTTTTCCCAGTAGCTATTTCAACCACTTCATTCAAAGTGACCTTTAAAAGTAGCAATTACTGAATCCCTGTGCTCCTTCTCCTAGCTCAAAACAGCCAGTGCCATTGTATTTCACTTGGTTCTTAGATAAACAAGGATAAATGCACTAATACACTTCTATAAGTCCAAAACACAACCCAACAACTTGAGGAAGATGTGATTGTGGTGCTCCTTACCAGAAAGCTGTGCTGCCACCCTTCTTCCCGTTGCTGACTTTCCAGTGCTATAAATCTCCTTTGCCCCGTTCATGGATGGCTTTTGAACAAACAACTTGAACAGATATTCATATTTAAATACTTCTGCAGTGCAATTCAGATCTCAAAAAGCTATTGCTTTATTCCTCTTACTTGAAGAGACAAATAAACCTGTCAGCTTATTTGGCTTTCTTTTGCTGTTTGTTGCTCACTCATTTAATTTCTCAGGCTTTTTTCCTCTTTTCCTCATTGCATTTTATGAGCATCTGTATTTCATTTATGTGTCCATGTTATCCTATCTGGTTCAGATTACTGTTCTCACTATTTAATGAACTTCTTTATATAACCCCTAGCAGAAATTTAAAAAAAAAAGGAATTTAAGTTTGATCATTAGTTGTTGCTTTGTTTTGTTTTCATATTTCATTATATTGAACATATATAATTTAGAAAGAAATCCTGTTGTCTGTATTAAGGACATTCTTCTTTTATAAGTTTTTGAAGACATCTGATATAGATGTTTTAGATGTTAATATGTGTGACTTGCAAGAAAGCAGTGCCATGAACCTTTCTGTATCAGATAAAATAGTGTACAGTGTCTTTTTAATAGCTAAATGAGCATTCTTTTCTGAATTGTTCCTGCTACAAAACGGAAAATAATCTGAATTTTTTGTTTTTCTGTTCTCCAATTAGTGGTAACTGCAAAAAATGCATACAAAGCTGGTTTATGATATTTATGTAGCAGCCTTTTCATTGGTAGAGATCATCACTGAAAACTGAACACAAATCTCAAAACTGAAGGAATAGAATAGCATAGAATAGAATAGAATAGAATAGAGTACTTCAGCTGGAAATTACTTACAATGATCATCTAGTCCAACTGCCTGACCAAATAAGGAAATAAATTAGTTCTTTTGCATAATGATCCACTTTGAAGTCAAATATAAAAACCTATAAACTCAACTCTGTGAGAATTGTTTGAAGGTGAATTTATCAATTATTCAGAAGAGTTAGAACACATATTGCTTTTTAATTTCTGTTACATTAAATTAGCAGAGGTTTATTGTACACAGAACATACTAGTGGAAGTTAACACATGTTGCTAAAAGTAAAAATTTCCTTATTTTATTAGAAGACCATTTATCTCTGGATAAGTTCTGCTGGAATAATTAGTTCACCTATGTCGTCGTTACACGTCACAGAGGTTTTATTGTGTTTAGTGCGAAAATGGGTGGGGAATTATATACTGCAACCACTTAATGCTGCTCCTCAGTTCTTTTTTCTTCCTGTATGTTAGTTTGTGCTATTTTCATGGATGCAAACTTCCTGGTAGACTATCTCTGGGTAGTCTTGAGAATGCATACTTATCCTGCTAATTACTGATGAGTAGCGCAAAATTTCAAGGAGGGTCGAGTGGTTATTTACTGCCATAATTTTTTCCTTATTTATTACATCAAGCAAATACAAGAAAATAGGTAAACAGATATGCAGCTTTGAGTTTCAGAAATTTCCTGAATGCAATAGAGAAAACAGAAATCAGATCTTTTTTCTTGAAGGATAAAATGCTCAAAGGGTATCATGGAGACTATAATAAATATAGTTATGTTATCATAAATGATTAACATGTTTTTAATAATAGGGAACTCCTTCACAGTTTTGTTTGTAAATGTTTTAGCTGTTAAATGAGGAGATTCAATCTCATTGGGAAGGCATAGCGAGTGCCACCAAGTCAGCAGATCTTATTCATTTCCTCCCGTTTCCCGTATGGTCTGAGTAAAACTAGTTGTTTTTAAAGGCGACGTTATTCATAAAAGCTTTTCAAGGGCTAGGATCTGGTCTCATCTCCACTTTTCAATCAAATAGTGTGTGGCAGTTAGAGCAATCATGCAATGCTGACCATTATTTATCAATTAATTAATTAATTTCCTGGTAGTCCATAAGAAAGATGCTGAACAGGAGCTGCTATAGTTGGACATCTTAAAATCAGGAATTCTAATACATTCATGCAACTTTTTTTTTTTTTAAACTGGCCAAAAACCTTTTGAAGAATTAATATTTCTTCAATAAATATTTAAATAAGACAGAAATCCCAGAGGACATGAAGGAAACTGAAGGATGAGAAGAAAAAGCAGTGAACTGAGATGTTTCAAAGAATAACTTGTAGATCTGTTAAGCTGACATTGGTATGAGAGAGAATAAAGGAAAAAAAAGAAATTAAACAGGGTGAAGTGCTAGGTGTTTAAAATACCTGGGGTGGGGACTGATGAACCCATATTGCTTTTTATTGCACTCAATTTCATATACTCCTGTAGCTACATTTACCTGTCACAGGTTCTTTTTAATTGTAGCAATGGTTTTAATTTAACACCCAGCACAATATTAGCAAGGTAATTGAAGATGTTTAAATTCCCCCTGCAAAAGCAGAGGAGAGTCCAAGGCCTTGTTTTTCTATGTTTAATAAAGCTTTTATTAGCACTTGACAATGAGGTTATGCAATCCTCCAGCTCTGGGTGGAATAGCTGGCACTGGCATGTGAGAGCAGGAGACTGCCAAAAGCCTCTGCATGGTTTGGCACCTACAAAGTGGCTGTCAATTTACTGAAGTTCCTAATCTGACAGTCACTAAAAATAGTTCAGGTGACTGCTTTCTACTGATGAAGAAATCCTGCTGGATATTTATGTTAGGAGGCAAGGGAACAATTTGTGAATTGCAGTTTATTTGCTTCCAAGATTATAGTTAAGAGTACATAGGAGAGAATTTATGTTTATTACAGTTTCTTGAAAAATACTAAAACATCTCAAGGAAAGGAAGACTATACAATGTGGAACCTGAAAATAATGAATTTATTTTGCTTGTGAAATGGCATTTATGACATTACTTTAAAATTACTTCAGTTTAAGCGCACAGTCGTTTCTGTCTTGATAGTAACTAATGAACTTTTTTTTACAGGCAACAATCAGCTGAAGACCTTGCAAGAGTACCTGCTAATTCAACCAGCAATATCTTGAATAGGCTATTGCTCAGCTATGATCCCAGGATAAGGCCTAATTTCAAAGGTTTGTCAGATATTTCAGCGTTTGCTTTAATCTTTAGAATTTAACTTTTGCTCTTTTCATACATAGAAAATTTACGTAGAGATAATATTCACAACCTAAAGTTCTGGTTTGGTTTATTTTGAATGAAAATTTCCCTAGATAGTATAAAACTGCAGAAGATATTTACTCTTTTGAGCTGAAAGATACCATGTTAGGTATTATCATAATAGTATGGGATGCTTTATTATTATTACTTTTATAAGAGACTTTTTAAAAGTAGGAGTAGATTTTACAGAATAAATTTTAAAAATATCCTTTTTATGCTTACATTTTAGTTAGACTTTTTGTAGTATCTGTGCTTTACAGAATTTTAAAACATCAAATTTCTCTATTGACATCCTTTAAGATAACTATAAAAACTTGAGATCAACACTATAGTTATTAAATCTGTTAAAGATGTTTTAGTTATAAAGCTTATGCACTTTAGTAATGCATTTAAACATATTCCCTGCCTTTAAAACATCTCTCTGGTCATCAGTGTTGTAGGATTCTTCCATGTAGGCAAGTGTGACTTCATTACATATGCAGAAAATGTTGGAATACATAGTCTCTGCAAAACCTCTGATAACTCATAGAGCTGTAAGTTACACTTTCCAGGAATTATTTCCCTTCTGAAAAAATACATTTTATTACATACAATTTTATTAAATACAGACTATGCAGTTTGCATAAATCAGTTCTTTAATTTTAAAACTCACATATAATTATATGTGCACTAAGAGGTATTTTAATGTGCATATTACTAGTATGAAAAATTTGGAAATCTTTATTGTGCCTTTGAAGAGACTATTTTCAGATGTTCTGTTTATCTCTTTTATTATCGTCTTAAACTCATTTCTCAGCAAGTATACTGCTTCTTTCTTATTCTTATTATAGAACCATATTTATATGTTTTCAGTGCTGAACCTTGTCACAAAGAATAAACACCCAGCCTCTTCTCTACCTGTTCTTCAGCATAATCAGCTTGTAATTGCAAAGCATATTGCAGATTTCTTTATATTTTTGATAACCCTGCTGGCAGCCTGGTAAGAATCCAGGCAGAAGGAAAAAGGAGGACATGTAATGTTAACTCACAGGGAGGTGGAAGAAAAAGAACATTTTCTGACAAGTGGTTTGCCCATGTTAAAATGTTCCTCACGCATGAGTGATTTTCTTGGATGGCACTTTCTATTCAAATCTGGAAGAGGGAGTACACTCTTGGCTACTAGTGATGTGATGGGTACTCTGTCACATGCATCAGGCATTAAAAAAATTTTTATGCTTATTGCATAACCAAAAGCATAATATTCAAGCAGTCTGATTAAAAAAAAACCAAACAACAAAAAACCCACAAACTGGTTTAACTGAAAAAAGTGAAATTTTATCTTTGTACATTTCTGGTGAACCACAAGAATGAGTTTGAATTTATATATTTAATGTACACCAAAATATTTTTGCAGACAAGCAAGCTATTGGAAGGGGCATATATTACTTTGCGCTGTATCTGCTTACTCTGTTAAAACAGTCTTCATATATTCTTGTTTATCTTTTGTTGCTGAAAGAAGGAAGAAACCCACTGAATTAAGTATTTGTAACAGTGTAAATGAGATCAGATCTAATGGACATACTGATACTCACAACATAGATAATAAATAAAACTAGTGGGCCACAATTAGTTCTCACAACTGTCAGGCCAGTTCTCCTTGCTTGGTGATAACTCTCTGTTAACACCATATTAAATGACCGCCAATCAGTTCCTCCAGGGTGACAGAGGGCAGATACAGCAGCTGTCACACCATCCTTCTGCAGCTACAGGAGTCCTGGCTGTGGAAAAGAGAAGAAAATCCAGGCTATCTTAATCTCTTCACAGCTGCTGGCTTCTAGAAATTTTTCTTGGCAAATTGGTAACCATTGTAAAATGGAGCAGCTTTCCAACTCTCTCGCACCAAGACTAGACAGCTGTGAAAGCCGCATGCAATAGTTTTTACCTGCCTGTACTCGTACTTTACCATTATGTACTTGACTTGCACAGAGAGGTATCCTCTTGAAATATGAATAAATGTCTCATCATAAATCATAAACAGTTAATTTGGGATGATAGATCATCATTATGACCTTGACAATTAAAAGTGTCTGCTGCTAGAAATGTGAATTGCCTCTATCCATTACACTGTGTGCAAAAGTAATACTGGCTTATGCATTCTGTGATAACAGAAAATCATGGAATTCAAAAATTATTCATTTAGATATATGGTCTGTGAAATTCTTTAAGATTAGCTCTCTAGACTAAGGATTTTTTTTTTCTGTTTTCTTATCACTCGGTTAAAAAGAGGTTTTGTGATTACCCTTGGTTTTGAAAACTTAGTATATACTAACTTGAAAAGATGAAGTTGTATGACCCTATAAAAAACATTTTACATTGTGATACCAGTATAAAGGAGCTTTAATTGAAGGATAACATACTTTTACTGGATTGTGCAGCTCACTAGTATTTTTTTTTTTAAAGGAATTCCAGTTGATGTTGCAGTTAACATCTTCATTAACAGCTTTGGGTCAATTCAAGAGACAACTATGGTAAGACTGAAATGAAATTATTATAGCATGCATGGAGATTTTCTTATTAAATTTCAAGTTGAGGATTATGAATTATAAAGTAGAAATAATTGTTGTGGTTGTAGGCACTGAGAATTAAGTTAATGGGGTTAGTGATTGACTGACGGTGATTTATGCCATAAAGCTATTCATCTATTCCATTTTATATGTGTCCACAGATTATTGTAGCTTTAGAATCTGATTTACATGAAAGGAAATCCATAATTTCTGAGATGCAAGAGATACACTTATTTCCATAAGTTATTAAGTTCAATGGAAGAAACCAATTGGTAGTATGAATTAAATAATCTTCCTAAGAGTTAGTATATAGGTTGCTTGGTGTATTATCCAAAAAAGTACACCAGGACATTCTGACTCATAATGGCAGAGAAGCAATAAACCATAATACCACTATTAAACATTAAAACACATTTTGTTGTTTTTGGAAGTAAGTGCCCATTTAAAATTCAGAACCAGCTTAAATGTTACCTTAATAACATTTCAGTAGGACTACAGAGCTACTCAAAGTTGTACATACATTGTAGCTGAAACAGCTTTTGAATAACTCGACCAGAAATTTCTCTTTCTTTAGCTAGCAGTGAATAAAGATTTAAATTTGATTGCAAAGGATTGTAAGTCAACTAGTGGCATTACAGGGAAGTGATATGAAAACAAAAAAATTCAGTTTGCTGAAGATGCCCTGAGATTTATTTCTGAAAACAAAAGGAGGACTCAAGTTTAAAGAGGGGCAGGGAGGAAGAACAGGAAAGTAGCAGTGAGATAAGTGTCTAAGATGTCAGGTATATTAGGCCAGATGGCGCTTTCAAGTTTCTGAAATTTATTGCATGCTTTAGAAAGTGACTTTTACAGAGGCTGTTTTACAATTCACTGAGATTCAAATAGTAACAAAACATGAATGTAAGGGATGTGCTTCCCCTTACCCCCTCCAAAAAAAAAATAAAAAAATTAAGTATGCTCTCTCCAACAGTGTATGTATGCCTGCCTGTGACTCCCTGATAGGATCACTCACAAATTTACTAGGATATTCTGTAAGATAAGTCATACTCTCCTCCATATTTCAGAACTTCAGACACCGTCCTTATTGTAATTTATGCTTTTATTTAGATTTCTCTCTCCAGCTGAGATCACCATGTGATAGCTAAGCATGTTTATGTGAAATTTGGTTTACGTCTTGATGGCCTTAATATTTCACAGGAAGCACTGACAAAATAAATGGTCAATCTATTCTTCCGTGTATCACTTGGAAAACTCTTCCTGCTACAGTGGGAATTGGGTCCTGTGGACAGTCAGGAACCACTGCTCTCTTTGGGGCTATGTTGGTACTTGTCTTCAGATGGTCTGGGTAATGCACCAGACAGTAGAAGTGGGTCCCTTAGACTAGGAAAAGACTTGTACCTTCAGAATTGTAGGAAAAGTATTTCCTGGAGCTGAGGCACTGAGCCTGTGAAGGACCGGGGGGGCCTCTTGCCTTGAGAAAAGGAGACATTTGCAGGAGTACCAGAACTGCTGAAAAAATTCCTCAGTGTTGGAGAAGAGAGTGGCTGTCTCCAGGTTTGGTGAGAATAATGAGGAATGTTGATTTCTTGACTGTCTCTAAAATGAACAGAAGCTACTAAAGTGGTTGGAGTGATATCATTACTGATACCAAAAATCTGTGAAATTTCTAAGTATTTCAGTCAATTAAGTATATTGTGATGATTCTTGGTTCTGTAGCCACTTCTAGTGCCAATAATTGAATTAGTAAGTTTTTGCAAAATCTGTGTGGATTTAAAGCATCCTGCTATAGCCATGCCAAAGCAGTGATTCCTTCTTTTGGGTGATGGAGGTGTGGGGAAAAATAACCATGGGTGCCAGATGACCAGAACTGAGGTTGTGGTAGAAGGCCCAACAAACATGTAGAGTGCCAGTGAGAAAAGGTCTTGTTTGCTGTCCTTCTGGTCACGTGATAATTGCATTCTTAGCTGTGCAGTTGGCTCATCCTCAACAAAAAAGAGTAGAGGTTACCTCCTATGAAGGTAAAGTCTGCTTAGTTTTAAGAGAGAAGGGAGTTTATAGAAAAGCATCAACATATTTGAAGTTGTATTGGTTTAAAGCAAGATAGTACCCATACTGTGGATCCTGTGCCCAGAAGCCTGTATTGCTTTAATCAAGCCCTTGTGAAGAATATGAAGGGCAAATGTTTGTTCTGTGTCTAGAAAGAGTAGTGTTGTTGAATATTCAAAAGAATTGCAATGTTTCCACACAGTTAGGAGGCAAGTTACCTGGAAAAAACTAAACAAAAAGGTTAGTTAACTAACCTTATAAGAAAAGCTTATGCCAGAGCTACCTACCAGTAAACTCCCTTTATCTTGAATCCTGTAATTTGTTTCCTTCTAAATCATTAGACCACTTGTCTAGGATCCCCATGCTAACTCTGCTTCTGATTTTGCACATTTTTTGATAATGCAGATTTGTGGGATAATATGGTGGTTATGTCACATTTGGAAACTATTTTAAACTGGATGACCAGTCAAGGATTCCTAGGGATAGAGAGTTTCTGGTATAAATACTGACAGGACTATAATATTTTAGCTGTGATGGTGATCTGACTGTCTACAGAATCTATATTCAAGGTTTTTACTTGCAGTGTGGCCTTTCTTCACTGACTCAAATAACAAAACACCACTTCTTCCTTCTCCTTTACTTTAAAACCTTGCAGAAAGGTCTTTTTAATATTTATGTATGTAAACAAAAATTCAGTTTCCTTATTTTAGTCTTAAAAATGAAATTTGCTTCTTTATCAAAAAAATATACTTCATCAAGAAAAAGCACTATTATTCTTCCTTTCTTTGTGTGACTGCAGTTTACATAGAAAGTCTTTCATGATCTGCTGTGTGCTCCATTTTGCAGAGATGTATAGGCAATGCGTGATTTCTGGCCTGAGGAGGTTTTCTGGCCACATGCCCACTATTTAGTAGGCTGCATTTGAAATATTTCCTAGAATGCCTCCCCTTTCAACCTTCCTGAAAACAATTTGCCTTCTGTTGGAGTTACATGGGAAAACAAAACCCTGTAGAATACTTCTGTGTTTCTTTCTACCTGACAGGTCTCCCTGCTCTAATGCTGATGAATATCTCTTCCACCCTCTGCTCCTAGTTTCAGGCTTTTTAGTTCCTATTTTGCTCTCCTTTATTATAAAATGCCAATCACACTGCAATATTCAAAAAACGTTTGTACAATATACAGCAGGAAGACCAGTTGCTTCATACAGACTGCTTCTTCAAGCCCCTGTTGAATCTAATCATAGTGCATTTACTGAATCTTAAAGTCCATGGTGCAAATTTGAGACAACTGGTTGCAGACTTCTTTCAAAACGGATGTATACCAGATCGTAGTCTACACTGCTGCCAGATGCTGTAGTAGTTCATATTCTTGTAAGAAGCAGCCCTTCTGCACATTGTTGTCTGGTTAGCCACAGTTTTTTACTGTGACATCTCTTTGCTTCCTTCTACATTTTCTGTATTGCCTCGAGTATGTGGTGGCCTTCCTCTCCAAGTACCCCTCTCATGAGTCTCTAATCCAGGCCTGAAGCCACCTATTTTAGATTAATGGGATTTTTCTTCCATTGAGTTAAATGGGAACAGAATCAAGTTCTTGAAATGTCACAACATCCCATTGTTTGGTCTATTTAAAGTCATTTGTAATAGAGCAAGAAAGGAAATAAACTACTATCTTTGTAATAGAGCAAGAAGGAAAATAAACTACTATCTGCCTGATCTTACTTCCAATTCTTATTTTGCCAGTGCATTCTGCTTTTCAGTGATGTAAACAACTCCTTCTACTGAATGGATAAGCTGAAGGCAAGTGTTGGACACTGCTTGTCATTTGCCTGTGGCTTTGAGAAGGCATCTTATTTTGTTAAAATTAGGGTGATGCACTTGTTTATGGGGAAGTTGACTTTCGTGCAATAGTGTAATGCTTGTGAGCATGAATGATATGCAGTATTTCTATTATATGATTTAGAGTAATTTTTTTCACTGAGACAAGAAGTGCATGTGGAATGGGAACTTCAGCAAGAAGCAAGTAAAGTAAATTTTCAATTATATACATATAATTGAAAAGATGCTTTCTGAGATAATGACCTGAATTCCCTCTGGTTCTAAAGCTTCTCTGTGAGAACCTTCCAATACACAGTCACTTCATATTAGCTATTATTTTTTGTTTCTTCTTTGCTTTGGAAAGACAATATAGGTCTTTGTATAAATAACAGTCAGACTATGTGTATTTTTTCCAAAAGAGACTACCAACAAGTAACAAGTACTTGGTTTTGATGTTCTGCTTTTTCTTACAATGCAGTAAGGAAGATTATTACACAGTATAGTGTAATAAAGAAATGTTTGGGCTGATTTGACTGGTGGACTGGACATGGAAAAATGAGCACTGTATTTCAATTTACAGCTTAAATCAACAGGCTAAATTATTCTGCATGAGGTCTTAGCCAAGTGAACTCCTTCCTATTGAAGCATGACAGTCTCGACATGGCACCTGCTTTGGAATGTAAATGCAGTAAATGCAACAGAATACTTCATGTTGTATCAACAGCAACAAAAAAAAGTATAATAGGGCATTAATATGTAAAATAAACAACTTCATAAAATTAGTTTGTATGCAGAATACTTTCACAAACCAAAAATACTTTGAGAACCTTCACTCACAGATTTCTAGCATTTCACTATAATTGTACAGCAGTAACAGTATTTTCACTACTGGAGGAGGCTTTGTAAGCAATAGACAATTATGCAAAAACAAAGCACACTGTAGAAAGAACTAGGAAGACTGGAGATAGAATTTATCTTACATATAGAATTTTGGTTTATTTGGTTGGGTTTTTTAACTTTATTTCAACAATACCCTTATTCTTTTTCTATATGTGATCTGCCTAGTTTACATATACTTGGAAAAAGAGGCACTGGCTTAAATGTAAGTGTAAAAAGCAAGAAGACTTAGAGATAAGACTGAAGAATCATGACTGACATACTGGGTCATATTTTTCCTTTGGATTCACACAGCTTTCACTAAGGACAGAACGCATGCAGGGTGTCATTTTGCCTTGAAACACATACTAATCCAATTCCCGAAAGCAAAATTAGGTTCTCATTGAGTATGGCTCTACTACTGTCCATCCTTCAGCAAGAGTCCTGCTGAATCCAGAAGGAGGTTTCCTCTGTAAAGCCTTGATTTTTTTCTCTTCGAGACTGATTCTGTTTCTCCTTTCATAGCTGCTACCTCAGTACTTGTGTTGCAAGCTGGCATCAGTTCTCCTGTTACCAAAATAGCTCCAGATCACTGTTAGAAGGTCTGAGGCTGTATTGTGGGTGTGTAGTGTAAAATCTGCTATCTACCTGGTCTCTTTTCTGCTTTTATAGTGTGATATTTTGCCATCAGTGCGATACTTAACCAAATGAAGAATAAACTGGAATTGGCACTCACAGGATATCCTGACAGAAGTGATATTCTGTGCTTACTGCCTGCAGCCATTTAGTATAGTCAAGCTATGGCCTCTCCCTGCCCAGCTACATGCTTCTCTATGCCTAAGTAACAGGTGGCCACTCTTGAGGGGATGCAAAAATTGTTCCAGGGGGACCAGTTTGGTCCTGTACTTAAAGAAAGTTGCTATATTCAGAGCATGAGTGAGACATAATCTACCTATTTGTAGTGAAGTCTATTAAATGTAACACTTCTTAATATCATTTGAATAGTGATTACTGTCTTTGTGATAGAAAAAATCAGAGTATAAATTGTTTTTCTGATAGAATGGTATTCTTTCTCTGTGTTTTTTTTTCTAGAATTTTGGCTAGTCTAATATTTATTTATTCTTCCCATCAGGATTACAGAGTCAACATCTTTCTAAGACAGAAGTGGAATGACCCCAGACTCAAACTGCCCAATGACTGGAGAGGCTCAGATACACTGACGGTGGACCCGACTATGTTCAAGTGTCTTTGGAAGCCAGACTTATTCTTTGCAAATGAAAAAAATGCTAATTTCCATGATGTCACACAAGAAAATATCCTTCTTTTTATATTTCGGGATGGAGATGTCCTAGTCAGCATGAGGTATTTTATTTACATATTTCTACTATTTTTTTAAATGACTTTATTGAAATGTGTGTGCTTATTAGACTTAGTAACAGAATATGACTTATGACTAATATTGAAATTTATATGACAGTTTGTAAACAATATTACAATAAATTAAATATGTGTAAAGAAATCAGATCAAGATATTTTAAAGTGTATCAGTTGATAGCACTGCAGGTGCAAGAAATTCAAAGTATGTGTACTTTTGCATGTCATGTTAAGCTAACACCAAGTAAAACTAACATTATTGGAAACACAATTTAAACCCCTTTGATAATTGCTTAGATTCCTAGACGCATAATGAGGTGGATAAGGTATCTGAAAAAAAGCCTTCCGCTGAAGAATATATTTTGCACATCACTTGAATTTCTGCATCAACTAAAGCAAATGATGATTACATACTAAAGATATAGGGAAAGGCAAAAATTACAAAAGTTGTGAATATAAATGTTTTGTAAAAGTACTGTGAAATAATACTGATTAACTTCTATGCCTGAACGAATATCGAGGTTTTTTTGGAAGAACCCAATTTCATTGCAATTAACATGTACTTCTTTGTGGTTTGAGTTCGTTTATCAAAGGTATACACAATGCCACAAAGATAGTCATCCACTGAAACCAGCAAATTGATTGATTAAAAAGGGTGTCATAGTGAATTACAGATCTGGAGAGTTTAGAGAACCAATGGTTTGTAGAGATCAGGCTCAATTTTCTAACAGCAAATGAATTTTCTTCTTGTGTGAACTGGAACATATTGCCCTGATAGAGGTAAAAATGATTATCTGAATATACCACAACTTTACCTTCAAGAAGGAACTACTTCAGAAGTTAGGGCCACATGAGCTATTTCTTCATGTAGTAGAAATGGATAGAAAAAGAAAGAAACAAGATGGGAGAGTCTGTGTTCTTTCTTGCCCATTTCAAATCAGGATGAGTAAAGTCTCAAGACTATTGCTGACAGTGATCAGAAAAGAAAATACATTGGGCAATCAAAGCATTTCATTTGGCTTGCTCTGAAAGTCCTGGTTTTGATTTCAGTTCCTTCTGTAGCACGTTTTGAAGTGTGTAGAAATTAATATTTCGAAGTAGAAAATCACGTTCAGCTATGAAAGAATCTTCTTATTTGAAGCAGCTAATGTTAAATGAAACACTGGAGCTGTTTTCAAATGTTGCAGCTATTCATAAATGAGCTCAATAGGTTAGGTTAATGATTAATGAATATTGAGTGAATACTAATGGAAGTGTTTCTGATGGAAAAATTATTCTCTGAAAACTTGCAAATAACAAAACCAAATTCAATAAGTTTGAAATTAATGTCATCCTCTAAAAATATGCTGTTTATTTTAATAACACACTATGTTCTTAGATGATACATATGCAGATAATAATTTTCTGAGACCTTGTGCTTTGGCGGCATTTTTAAAATATATAATTTCTATGTCTTGTATTTTTAGTTTACATAGGTATTATCATGTATAAATTAAAGAATCTCCAGTTATCAAACTACTTGAATGACAAAATGCATATGAGAGAAAGCTCTTGTGCAAATAGTTAAGAATTAGGAAACTGAAAACAGGAATAAACAGCTAGTGCTCACATCAGGGACAGTAAACAGTGGAGTCCCACAAAAAAAGTTTCAACTAGGTTTTGTGCCTTTCAACATAAATCATCTGGAAAACTGTGAATTTCCAAGTGCTTTTGATGATACCTAAATATACAGAACAGTAAAGGTAAGAGACAACGTAAGAACCACAAATTATTCAAATGACCAGGCAACCAAGCATGAGATGAAATTCAAAGTAAATAACTGAAAATTATGCATGAGGAAAAAAATTATTGTAACATCACATAAAACCTGATTGTTTTTGAGGTGGTTATCAACTAAGAAAATTATCTGTGAGTAGTAACAGCTGATTGTACGAAAATGTCAGCTTATAGCTCAGTACTGTTTGAGAAAGTGATTTAAATTCTAGGAAGTATTAGGGATGAAAGAGAATATTATGCCACTTCATAAATGACTGCTACACTTGGATCATGAATACAAAGTGCAATTCTGGTCTTCCCACTGGGAAGAAAGGAGGCAAGGATGGTCGAAGGCACAGAACAGCTGAGCAAAGCAGAACTTTTCACGCTGGAAAGAACGAGATAATTGAGGTGGTGACATAGAGATCTCTGAATCACAAATGGCACAGAGAGAATGGATGGACATCGATTTTTTTGCCTTCTTTTCCAGTAAAAGACCTATGAGACAGACTCAGGATATATATAAGGAGATTATTAGAGTGTGTGCAGCTAAGCTATGATGTTCTTTGCTGCAAGATGCTGTGCATGTTAAAGGTTACATAGTGTCATCCTTTAACCTCGGCTGATTATTAAGTACTACGTAGCTGCTTGCTCACTTCCCCCTTGCCCCTGGCCCTGGTGGGATGGAGAGGAGAAGCAGGAAAAGAAAGCCCATAAAAGTCTTGAGTTGAGAACAGTTTAACAACTGAAGCAAAGTAAAACAAAATAATAGATGTCATAATGCTAATATTAATTGTAATAAAAAGGAGAGGGAGAGAGAGACATAAAACCCAAGAGAAACAAGTGATGCAGAATACAATTGCTCAACACCTGCTGACCATCCCTTCCCTGCTGCCTCCCATCTTCTTGTGCACCTGCTCACTGGCAGAGCATGGAAACTGAAAAGTCCTTGATTTAGGGTAAACACTACTGAGCAACAACCAAAACATCAATGTGTTATCCACGTTATTCTCATACTGAATCCAAAACACAGCACTGTGCCAGCTGCTAGGAAGAAAATTAACTCTATCCCAGCCAAAACCAGGATACAGATTCCAGAAAGCAACCAGAATCAAAACAGCTTCTTAGAGACAAAAAAATCTGTCAAGGTCCCTTAAATACTGAAGCATCACTTCTGGTTTAGGGAGTCCTTGAGATGCAATTTTTGGGATGTTGCTGAATATCTGGAAAAATGGCATATCCAGATTGCCATGGTATCATATTCTTTTTTAGGAGTCTTGACGTTGGCCACTGCTGGAGACAGGACTCTGCTCTGTATGGACATTTGGTTAGGTTATTCTTATGACCTATATGTATTTCATCTTGTATTAGTAATTCTCTAATTTGTGAACTATTATGTGTTTAAAGCCCTCTATAATTTTTTCCCCTATTTTATACAAGAGATCTCCATTTCAAACTGCTAATTATAACTGTAAATTTTGTTTCTGCTATTTTAGAAGATGAAAATCAAATGCCTGTGATTTTTTTCTTTCTTATGACCATCTACTGCTTACATGGCAGCTCACACTGTTTTTAAATACCATTTCTATATTTTCAGGTTGTCTATTACTCTGTCATGCCCTTTGGACTTGACCTTGTTTCCTATGGATACACAGCGCTGCAAGATGCAATTGGAAAGCTGTATGTAAATTATTCTGTGCATAAAAACAGTTCTCTTCTAGGCATGTATGAGAATCAAACAAAAATTATCAGTTCTGTATTGTTCATGTCAGCATTTTTAATGAACTGTGAAACTGATACTCACTGGTTCCTACCAATGTACATTTCCCTATCAAAGATATTTCTTACAGTTATGGCACTGTGCACTCTTGGTTTTAGCTTTTGCTATCAACCATAATGACAATTGAAGAGTTTTATAAAAACATTTACAATAAACTTAGTCAAATGGAAACACATATCATTTGGAAAAAAGAATAGCTTCCTCAGGTAGTTTTAACTTCCACAACCTGTGCTGCTTTGGAGGTTGTTAGGACCCAATTTATCCCCTTGCATTGATGATGCATGGTATTGCTTGAAACCCCTTTAATATGGTACCAAAGGAAAAGTATTTGATGCCGAAGCAGTGATATCATTTAGGGTGAAATGTTTTGAAAGAGGTTTCAAGATGTGTTGTGGCTGTAGTCAGGCATCTGTTCCTTACCAATCCTGCCCTGGTCTCCAGGTGATTTAGTCTTATGATGGGGCATACAGGTCTCATCTCTGAAGGGCATCATGCAGACAAAATGTTTCTGAAACCCATCTTTCTTGTGCCCCAAGTACACGAGTGTTTACTCAACTATAGCCTTTTTCCAACACTTCAATCCCTGGTGATCCCGCTTTCATAGTAATTCTGTTTTCCTGAATAAGGATGAGTATGGAGCAGAGAGAAGGAAGGTGACTTGCTCCAGCCTGTTCCTGCTGGAACACAAAAACTTGTTCAACTTTTACTCCACCAGCTCTGGTGGGAAAGGTGAGGTTAGGGAAAGGAAGTCACAAGTGAAGAAAGAGCAAGGTTAATCAAAACTGGGCAGGGTATCCCGGTGGGGACAAGGGTAATGATAATGATAATAATAATAATAATAATATAATGGTATTAGAGTTCTCAATTTAGTTTTTGATTTCCAGCATTTATCTTTTGAATTGTAGTATGTCCACAGTAGTTTTGCTCGTCACTACATGTACATTAGCTGAAGTAAACTCTTATGGTAAATGGAAAGTAGTTTGGGGTTAAATTGGAATTAGACAGTAATATTAATAGAAGTTTACTCAAACTTTCTCAGTCCAGGTTGCTTCACAAGCATTTCAAGGAATAGTTATTCAAGAATGAACTAAAATGCATGCTATGTTGATTTATTCAAATTCAACATGAATTTACTTCTTTAGAAAGACAGCGTGCTTTCTTCTACCTTTTAATTCAGTTGTCAAAAGTAAGAATGGTACCTACAACCTCCTGTCTGCCTCTCCAGTTCTTTCCCTTTTAGCATTTGGCAGTTTTATTCTTCTTAGGTTATTTTCAAATCAATGTTTTGTTTCTACTTGCTAGATTTCAAAATCAAAAAAGGCCATCAGTTTTTACTGAGCTGTTCTCATATCCACAGTTATGATCCTCAGTTCTACACATTCTCTACAGACACAAATTTCACTGTCCAGTAATTGTTATCATAAAGGATCTTGGCAGTTTTGTGATATGCTAAGTGTTGGAAGGGGATGAGACTGATTTTATGAATGAAGCATTAAAACAACTCTTTTTTTTGATATTATCTTACTTTATGGAGCTTTGGGACATTTTGATTTTCATTAAATTGTTAGGAATCATAGACACACAATAGAAACCTTATGAACGGTTTCACTTTTTTAATTACAGCTGCTTTTAAAAAGTTAAAAAAAATAATCTGATGCCTCCAGGAAAAGAATGGCTGTTTAAACATTTTTAAGGGCTTTGAACTGCAAAAGGCTGCATTCCAACTCCATCTTTTTTATGTTTCCTCATCTCTGTTCCCACCTAACACACATTATCTCTGTTTGAATTAAGTTAATCTTTAATAAACAAAAGGTAGCAAAAAAATGGCATGTAAAATCATGGTTCTGATTATGCACATTTAATCAATATTGCTTTATGCTTGAATATTGTGAGTCTAACTTCCACTACCTCTTGCTCGGTGGTGGTGTATATATCATGATTCAGACACTCAGAGGTGTGCTGAAGTCTGTCCATACTCAGGAGGTCATGAAGGCACTGAACTGATTTCTGTAGGACTACACATCTGCTCAAATTCCTGATCAAGTATTTCCTGAATGGAAATGCTTTCATGAGTCAGGGCTTTTAGTCTGAAAAAATAAGCAGAGAGGCTGTTTTACACAAAACCCAAGATCCATCACAGTAATGGAGTTGTTAAATTCTTTTGAAGTTACTTGGATTCGTGAGTCCTGTTAAAATTCAGTACATTTTTCATGGTTTGCTGAAGTAGAGTATGAATTAATATGGAGGCTTGAAAGCTGTGGAGAGTAGAGCTTTGCTTTCTTTGTTTAAACAGTACGAACTGTAACAAACACCTTTTCGTCAGGTGATAATGTAATGTTCCACCCATCAAATCCTAATTTAGGCCCATGTGAAAATTCAGCTTTGAATTATTTAATTTTTGTATTTATTTATTTGAACAGGAACTAGAAAGAAAAAGACTGAAAGGAATATGCATATGCCAGATTTTCTTGCAGAGTTTAGTCTGATTGAGGTGGTTTTTTAAACAATTATTATTATTTTGTTCTTGTAGTTGGTTACACAACTGATGACTTACGGTTTATCTGGCAGTCTGGAGATCCTGTACAGCTAGAGAAAATTGCTCTGCCTCAGTTTGATATTAAAAAGGAGGATATCGAATATGGTAACTGTACCAAGTATTACAAAGGCACAGGTAGGTAATCTAAGTGATTGCCTTCGTAAAACCCTTTTAAGCTTCCTTCAATTATTGTTTATAATTAATGGTTACTATTCCAGTCCATGTCTTACATTTCATGGGATAAAATAGATTACTTTTAACTAATAGGTAGTTTATATAATGGTAACTTTCATATGTGATTACTACAAACTAATTCAAATATAGAGACATCTAAACTGAAGATGGGATTAAATGTTTGTTTTAGTTTTGTTTACATATCTTATCATCTTCTTATCAGCATTCTCTTTTTATAGTTCTATTACCTGTTTATGCTGGTAAATGTCTAACCTTTCTGAAAGAGTGTTCACACAGAATCATGCCAGTTGCAGCAAAGTGGGTAAATTCTGATTTTCTGGTTCAAATTTTGTTCCATAAATGGATAGTATTAGAGTGTAACTTCAAGTGCTTCACCCTGCAGGTTCTTCTGTTCTCTAAGTGTTCTGGAAAGTCTGTCATTATAGAAAACTGCTTAAAATCCTCTACCTGTATTTATTTAATCCTACAATTATTTTCTGAATGTGAGCACGGATTTATCCAATGGTTTCTGTACTCTGGCTTTTAATGATTTATCTTTCCTACTTTGATTCGTTCCTGCTTATGATTATATCCAAATTACTGACATACTGTGACAACCACAAAACTTTCTACAAAAATGGAAGTCAGCAGGTGTATTTTAGGCAGTGCCCTTGCATCATATAAATAAATCTCCCATTAAAAATTAGTGAGGGGGACTGTGGTGCTGCAGCTTCTGAGGACCCTTTGCAAGTTTCTTGTTGACTCTTCAGCTGAAGTGGAGAGTCTGTTACTTGTGATTGCTCCTGAGCCTGATTTCAACTCTGAAGAGATCTCAAGTAACCTTAGTGGATCTCAAATTTAAGAATTTAACTTGAAGAGATAATAAAAATTGAAGTGGAGTTTGTCTACAAACTGCAAAATGAGCGAGTTCTTAGCCTAACTATATAATTCAGCATCTTGGGTGATTTAACATTTGTAAATAATAAGAAATTAGCTCTCTTCAAGAAAATTCTACATTTGTGAAAGCACATCCAACAACTGGCAGTGATTGCATTCAAATCTAAGTCAGGATATGGTAGAAACTTACTTAGTAATGAGAAAATGTTTTTTTCTTAATTAAACAATGAATTTACTGAAAATAAATAGGCTATGAAGTAGTGAAAAATTAAGGAAATGGATCTTGCATTTCCTGAATGAAATCCATACAAATTAGATAATTGTAAAACTTGCATTCTATTTGAGGCTAAAAGAAAACACTCAAGATTGCTATCTTGTTGTTGAAGTTCTCGTGATCATTTTGAGTTTTACCCTAAATCTGAAATTAAATGTCTAAACAAAATTAAATATTTTAGATATTTTTAGGGACCTTAAAGAAAAAAATGTAAGAAAAATCAGTGGTGTTCTCTCAAGTTTTACCAACTTGTGACCACAAGTTAAAATGACACTGCAAAATATTCAGTAAAATGCTCGCATTTTGTGTGGATGTGTATGTGCTTTGGAACATTAAAGAAAGAACATGAGAGAACCATCAGTTAAAAAATTAATTTTTTAAAGTTTTCACAACTCTTTTATTGCAAATCCTTTCTGTTAAGAATATCCATTTAATCTCATAATCAAAACTGGAATTAATCCTTCAGTAATGTGAAAGGAATATTTAATATTTTAATACTCTGAAGTATTTTTAAAGGTGTTTTAAATACTCCATTTTTATTTACTTTAAATTCTTATGCTGATGGTATTTTAAAAATACCTTCACATACAGAGTTAAAATTAATTCAGCTGTGGATTTTTCCGTGTTGCATGAAGGAGCAAATTTTAAAATTATGGCTTATGTAGTAGATTCCTGCCTATTGCACAGAACTCAATCTTTACTGCTTATTTTTGTCAACTGACATTTTATCATAAGTAAGCTGAAAGAGGGTCACCAAATTTGGGGAGATTTTGTGGCAATAAATTGAATATATATATTTGCAAATTGCCTGTTATTCATGGACCGTGTGACAGATTCAGAAAGGTCCTTGTGAGCTGAATGGTGGGGGCAATAGATACTATACTCTGTCTGATGAAAGACTATTTAAATGAAGGCGTATGGAATACATTTCCTACATAACACAAACAATGATTTTGAAGGTCATCCCTCATTTGAAAATAAAACCTAAAAGTATCTGGAAACTATTCAGAAATTATAGAGGGATAACTTTTCAGCCAACAGATCACTGAAAATGATAGAATGGACAATAAAATACAGCACTGAGAAGACACTAGTCTTCTATACAAGGATTTTTTTCTTTAATGTTTTATTATGTTGTTGTTTTGGTGTTTGTATGCCTAAACAACTCTTTTATGTCATTGTACAGCACTTACTTGATAAAATATGGAAGATAAATAGAGAACTTTTTGACAGATTCTAGCTTCTAAATTAGCTTTGCGCCAACTGGATTGATAAATATGGTCCAATCTGAATTTTGAAGTTGTTGTAATATAACATAGGAATGCTCTTTCTTTGTGATAGAGTAGTTTCTGAAGGTTTTTTTTTTTACAACACTGTTGTGTTTCTATTAATATAAAAATGCCAGTTCTGCTAATTGAGTGAAAATAAGAACAGAATTTATTTTCTGGCTATCAGATTTCTTGATACATTTGTTATCTCCAGCAAAACCTCTTGTACTACAACTTTATTTTTTATTGAATTATCTTAAACAGATATCTTCTGAAATATTTGTGTGCTTTAGATACTAATTTTAAAAGATTTTTTGCAGTATTCCTTGTTTGCAAAATTTACAGCTTTTCTAGAGCCTGTTCTAAAAAGTCTGTACCAATTTTAGAAGTCACCTATATCATCTTTCAGTACGGGGGAAATCTGATTAGAATCACATTCAGATCCCCTCTTTCCATTCTAAACTTTCTAGACTAATATTTCCAAATTCCACCTTTTGCACAAATTAATGCTAAGTAGGATTTTCAGGTGAGCTTAAGCTAGTAGGACTGCTAGACTCTGTGGTTTTTATCTGGATTGCATACTGCATCTTGAAGCCAGCATCAAGATGAGAGTCAGTTTGTCTTCCTGCTACTGATGTGCTTTGAGAAGATGGAGGGTTCCTTATAGAGCACAGATAATACTGCAGCCTGACCACACTTTGTGGTTATGTAGATCTGTGTTTTAAATTTTTTTTTCAAATTAAACTCTTTGAATTTATAAAGACAATTGAATAATTGAACTTTTGCTCTTAAATAGAAAAAGGCCTGGAAGATATGAATCAGAGGTTCACTTGCAAAACACGTTAAACATTAATGCGTTTATTTCTTTAAAGGTTATTACACTTGTGTAGAAGTAATCTTCACTTTAAGAAGACAAGTTGGATTTTACATGATGGGTGTTTATGCTCCTACACTGCTAATTGTTGTTCTATCCTGGCTGTCATTTTGGATCAATCCTGACGCAAGTGCTGCAAGAGTCCCGCTGGGTAACCTGTGTTTTCACATATGTCACAATCCGCTTTAACACCGTTCTGAGTTGCTTTGACTACATGACACTGGACCCTGAAAGCAACTTCACTTCCATTATTTGCTCATCATTTTCACTGAAATCTCCTCATTCCTAGTCTTCTAAAATCCACCTCCACATTAAGACTTCACTTGATAGTAGTTCCAGCATTTGTGTGACAAGCACACTGTGTCTGCTCCTCTCAACCTGGACAAATCTGATCTTATCTATGTACAGGCGATGCTGCAAACACTGTGGCAATATGCGGTTTATAGGAATTTGAACATTTGAATAGTCGGTAGGAAAGCAGGATGATAAGTAAGGCTCTAAAAAACTACCTATTGGAACAGCTTTTCTGAAGATTAATAGAAACATAATGATGTCTGGAACATAACTAGTATTCTTGTTACCTGCTTGACTTTATTTCATTAGAGACTCAGTTCACGAGAGTACTTCAAGCGCATGTGGTCAGCACAACATAGTAGGCAGGCTCTTAATTTATTATGAAATAGTAGAACACAGAGTTACTAAAACCATTATTATCTTGGCTAACTGTATTGTACATGGGACTCCAGTTCTGAGGTGGCCAAACTTGCTGACCGCAGTGAAATGAGGAGCCAGGCTCTTCCATCTTGACTCTTCTATTTGGATTCCATTCCCCATGCTCTGGCCTTCCCGTGCTCCTCTTTTGCCTGGCTCTCCCACCTGCCCAAGCCCATACTTTCCAAATCTTTGCCATGTCCCAGGAGGTTTAGTGCATCTGTTTTAATGATCTCAGTGGTGCAGTTGCAGAATCCCTCCAGCTGCCTGTCTTCCTCAGAAACCTCTTACACACACTGGAATCTCCACAACCCCACAGGACATGACTCCTGTGCAGCCTCGTGTGCATTGAATGTGTGCCAATGAGCTCTGGAGACCCTTGGAGTCAGGACCTGCCACATCACTTTACCAATTTGTGTCTGTGATCTGCAGAGTCTTGCAGTAGTGAGTAACTAAAATCTCTGTGTTAGGAGTGAGCTGGAGCAGGAACAGAGTTTTTTATGTGGAAAAGCATCCACATATCCACTGGGCTGAGCTCCATTGCTCTCATCTCAGGTAATCTGCCATGACTCTTCTTTCAGTGATATGACAGAAAAACAGAGCTGCAAACCCCCCAAAAATAAGAAGGGTGTGAAGGTACTTGAATATATTCAGAGGAGGACAATAAAGTGGTGAAAGGACTGGAAGGCGTGTCCATGAGGAGTGTCTAAGGACTCTGTGTTTGTTTAGTTTGGAGAGAAGGAGTCTGTGGAGCAACCTCATTGCTCTCTACAGCTTCCTGAGGAGGGGAAGTGGAGAGGGAGGTGTTGGAATGTTCTTCCTGGTGTCCAGTGACAGGATGAGTGGGAATGGTTCAAATCTGCCCCAGGGGAGGTTCAGACTGGATTACTGAGAAACAGTAAAGAACAGACTTTCTTGAGAGGTGGTCAAGCCTGACAGGGTTTAAGGGTCATTTGGACAATGCCCTTAACATACTTTAGCTCTTGGTCAGCACCTGAATTGGTCAGGCAGTTGACCTGAATGATCTTTGAAGGTCCCATCAAACTCAAATAGTCTGTTCTATTCTAAAATCTGGAGAACCATGGTTGAAGCTCTCCTTCTGGTTTGTGAGCCACAATTGGCTACTTTGCTGTAAATGAAGTAAACCACATTGTATTCAGTCTATCTTTTTTCTGAAGCTCTATTTCAGAATACAAAGAAGCTTTTTTTCTTTTGACCTTTAAAAATATTAATAGTTACTTGGAGAGGAGTCTCAATCTGTTTTTAGTTTCATGGCAAGTAACAAATACAATCTTTTACCTTGAAAAGTCGCGAGGATGCATTCCATAATGTGAAACATTAAGAGAGCATTTTAAGAGAAGAAGAATGGGGAAAATGTAAGATGCATTAAATTAAAAAGAATGAAACAGGAACTGGAAATATTTTTCACATAGGAAATTCAAATACGATTGAAACCAAGCTGTATTGCCACTTCTGTGATGCCATGCTTCACATAGCAAACCAGACAGGCTTATTAATTACATAGGAGATTTATAAGAGTCTTAGTGCTGATTCATGTCACACAGATGTCTTTGTGACTAAATATGCATGCTTATTTATTTTTTATTTGTTTCATTCATTGTAAGTGTTTATTGGCTCCTTTTATGTATTAGCATTTCTGAAATACTTCATTTTTAACAATACTATTGGCCTAGTTATGTGACTTTTCCTGAATCCCCAGAGAAGCAAAAAACCCCTCTAAATCTGACCATTCTTTAGCTGAGTCAGTATTTAGTAATGAAGGTTGTTAATACTTTCACTGGGGTAAGATTTATGTTTCTCCAGTGTTCAGGAGAGCAACAAACTAACTCTTCTAGCTACATCCTTGAAGATAGTTGACCTTGAAATATGGCAAGATTAAGATTTGTGTGTCAAATGAATGATATCTAGCCCAAAAAAATTGTTACCAATGGCTAGTTACAGATGTCATCATGTGAGAAGCTACTTCAGATTTACCTACTAATATCTTAATGCAGTCATCCCTAGAATTAAGTGCTGTGGGCTACTGCTCCCCATGGCAAGGCATCTCAGAAGTTTCCAGGTGATTTAGGAGTACAAAACACATGGCAAACCAGTAAGCAGAATTATGTTTTTATAGACTGATTGTTGTTCTGGGAAGAGGATTTATGTTTGTTTGAAAAAAAAAGGCCTACATCTGTGTAAGAACTAACTAAATTGCAAGCCCTATTTATACCTGTTTCATTTCACCTGACTAAATCATCTGGTGGTAGAGAAATCCATGAAGGACTGGGATCTGGACAGCTGTGGCTGAGCAACATAAAGGCTGATATCACTGAATGCTTCTTTCTAATTCGATGCTGGTGTTCCACCTTTTAGTGAGCCTGACACAGGACTCTGCTGTTTTTTACAGGTGGAAAGGATGCCAGCATCCATTGAAAAAAAAGTCCTTTCCTTCCTTCACTGCTGTGTTATCCCCAAAGGGAGTAAGATCTTCCCTGGAGCTCTAGGGATCTGAGGGATGTCAGACTTCTGTCCACCCACAGTGGCCTGGCAGAATGAAGCATTGGTCCAGAGTGAAGGTGGGGGCACAACAGGGTAACTAAAAGCTTGGAATAGTGATCAATGGTGTGTTCCCCCCATACAAAGGACAGCTAGGTCTGCAGCCAGGCACGCACCACTCGCCACTCATCACTCTTGTCCTCAGATCTCTCTTAGTTCTAGTCATTTATTTTATAAAATTGTAACAACTGTAGGGTTTCAAAGGAAAGGCATAAAGATATATGTTACAACCCTAATATGAAGATGGATTGGCAAGATGATGTCTTTTAGTTTATGGAGATTAATGAGAGAAGAGAATGTACTAGAGATATCAAATTTAACAGAAAGCAAGTCAGAATATTAGCTTTTTCAATAACATTAGTAAGATGAACCCAGGCATTTTTAAAGCAGCAATTTAAACCAGAAAATATTATTTTTTACTGCACATAATTAACCTGTGGAATTTACTGTCAGGAGATAGTGCTGAGGTCAGTAAATTGGTTAGATTCAAAAAAAGGGAGATTTATTTCTCTGGCATGTGCTGAAATGCTATGCTGAACTGGCATTTTCAGACATTTACATGTTACCGTAGGTCATTTTTTAAAAAAGTAGCTCTGTACAATCATGCTTTAGACTGGAAGCTAACTAACCATACTGATAAAATCAAATTTTGTCATCAAGAGGGATGCCACACTAGGGGAAAAAGTGCAGAGGTATTTCCTAAAAATGCCAGCTTTCCCTTTACTTTGCAAGTGTGGAGGAAGGAGCTCTAGGTCCTTTCTCTTTAGTACTCCCTAAGAAGAAAAGGAGAGATTTTTTTTGTGTCCCCTTTTTTTTTTTTAATAACTAATCTTTCAGTTTATTTCTTCATGCTCCTCACTCACATTTCAGCCTTAAGCTTTGGACTGTGCTAGGTAGGCACCTAGTGCAGCTGCTGCCAGAGGCATGACTTACAGCTCTGGTACTAGGGTCTCCAAGGCCATGCCAACTCTCATCAGGCAGCAAATGATTGCTTAATAGAATATTTATGTGCTTCTGTCTCGCTTTATTGTTACCTTGAAAACCTAGAAGCTTCTTAGACTCTGAGAATGAACCTTTCATTGTAAGAATCCAGAAAAATGGAATTAGCTGCTGGTCACCATGGCCTCAGCTGAAATGAGTGATGAAAATTCATGAACAATGAAAGCTCCACAAAAATATTTTCAGCTACTAGAACTTCTAAGTTAGTTCTGTAGAATTCAATCGAATAATGTAAGATATAGTATTTTAAGGTCTAAAAAGTTGGTGTACAATTTTTTGGCACCAGGCATGATAATAAAACTCACATATTAAGATAGTAAACACTTCTAAAGTCAGTAGGAAAAAATTGCTATATCCAAGATGTTGAGCCAGTCCATATCATTGGTTAATTTGGTTATTCAGAGTAAGGGTTATTCAAACAGCATGCTGGACATAGGCAGATGTGTCCTGTATATGTTAAGAGGCAGTACAGCCTTATTTGTACTTCTTATTGAAGGTTTTTTGTGATCCATCCCCAGCCAGCAGGTGTTGGCAAGTGAAAATAATTTTTTTTTTAAAGAAGTATTCTATGCTTACTTTCTATCCTTATAGGCACGTTTGTACCTTAATGCTTCAGATACAATAGATGGAAAATAAGCCAGAGTGGACACTGAGGATTGTCTGTTTAGTATTTACCATATCATTCTGTTCTGAGGTAATGCATCTGCCCATTCTGTATTATCCCCATGGACAAAAAAAAATCCAGCTTTACAGTGATCCATCGATACCACACATTTATAAATAAAACATCATAAATTTCTGTGGTTTAAAATTGCATGACTGTAAACATTTCTTTACGCTTCAGTGTTTTAGCAGCTAGTGAATTGCCCATTTGAGATTAATGCCAGATAAAGTATCATGTCGATTTTACTGAAATCCAAATAGGAACAGTAGCAAAAGAATGTGTTGTTTATGATCAACTAGAATTGAATATTTTCATAGGCAAATACAGATATTTTCAATATAATTAATATTTTCACATCCTCAGTTACTTAAAATCTATCTGAAGAAAATTATCTCCCTATGAATGACAAAATTTTTTATGCTTTGGATAGCACATGTGACCGGTATAAGAAATGTAGTTGAGACTAACTGAATATCTCTTTTTGACCAACATTTTCTATGGATGTCAATTATATTTCATTAAGCCGCCCACTCATAAGTAAAGCTTTTTATCATTAGCATTCACAAAACCAAAATGGGACATTCTGAACTTGGAGGTTGAACTAAGTTTTCCCCCTTGACAGCCATTTCTAAAGTTAGCTTTTTCCAAAAGTAGCTGTTCATACTACTGTTCTCTTTTCAGAGGACCCTGTGAGAAATCTTTCTGTGAGATCAGGCTTGTATTTTATCTCTTGGGATGTGAGCCTTCTGTGGATGGTGACATTTGGAAACCTTATTAGGAGAAATGCTTGTTGAAATCCACGAGTGTGACCTTTCAACAGCCTTTGCACATGTGCGTTTTTGTACATGATAAGGGCTTCATGAAATGCCCTTTATCTAGAAAGCTTCCTCTAGGTCCTGGAAGCTCAAATAGGAAATGATTGTAGACCCTCAGTCACCTCAGTGTTTTCATCTTCACAGTGAATCGGGAACACAGACTTTGTGATGTGCTCACACAGCTCTGCTCTTCAGCAAAATTTCCCTTTCAGCTAAGGTTTGAATATCACACCCGTGAACAGGTCATTCAGAGAATTGCTCCTGCTGCAGCACAGTTCAGATTTCTGGGACAATGGTAGTCTAATTTAAAGGACTTGGAGTCTTTTGGTTTAAGAGTCATATATTTCTTTTCCACCTTCCCAGACTTGCACATTGTAAGATAAGTCTTTGGAAAGCCCATTTCCCAGCTGTGTGTTGGGGCACAATAACCACAACAACCAGTTTAGCCTCACTTACTTGTTTCTCTGTTTATAAAATGAAGATACTTAATAATTCACCATTAACTGCAATATCCTACATAAGTGTTCAGTTTAATATGTTCATGAACTGAAGGCATGTGCACTTTGTACACCTACTGCACCAACCACATTGTGAAGTCCCATTCACTGTTACAAAACATCATTCACTATTGTCTGTTTCAGAGGAAGAGCACAGCCAGTATCAATGAGAGAAAGTTTTCTTAATCAATATGTTGTTTTTTCTTTTTGTAGGTATTTTCTCAGTGCTCAGCTTGGCATCTGAATGTACCACTCTTGCTGCTGAACTTCCCAAAGTGTCTTACGTGAAGGCCTTAGATGTCTGGCTGATTGTCTGTCTTCTCTTTGGCTTTGCATCCCTGGTGGAGTATGCTGTGGTTCAGGTAATGCTAAACAATCCAAAGAGAATTGAAGCTGAAAAAGCAAAGATTGCCAAGGCAGAGCAAGCGGAAGGGAAGGGTGGAAATGCTGCCAAGAAGAACACTGTGAATGGCACAGGGACTCCTGTCCACATCAGCACTTTACAGGTAGGAGCTGCAAAAATCTGTACACAAAATCAGCATTATCCTCTATTAAAACAATTCCAGGAGTATACTCTAGTAATAGTTTTGAATAGTGCTTAATTTTAGAAGTGACCAAGACATCAAAAATGTGCTGGTAACTAATGACTAGAAACGTGACCAATTGGTCCCTAGTGATTTGGAGTCAGATGTACTAAATGAAAAATTTGTCTTTTAATATCCTAGCACCATGGTTGCTGCTAAGCTTCAGGTAAATAAAGTAGCAAGCAACTTTACAGTTGCTATTTTTCTCATAATAAATAGCAGCTGTCAAACTGTAACTATTCAGAGGACAGAACTCTTAGACAGTATTTGCTGAGACCATACTCAAATAACGCCCAGCTCATTGCTTTCCCCCGGATAGCCACAGCTGCACTGCATTGTATGTCAAGCATCTATGAAGCCAGGAATCCAGAAGTCTTGGCATCTATAAACAAAAGTCAGGTCTCTTTGTCTGTCAAACAGTTCCTGCATTTCTTTTGTAGCCAGATAGCATTTATGTGTAAGTCATTCAGATATCATTATAAGGACAAAGATGACGTACATCTTTGCTCAAGCCAAAGTTTTCTATCATGTTGCTGTATTCCTGTTATTGTAGAAGTCCTTGTTTGTGCTCCAAGAGTTATCAGACATCACAGGCCAACTGCCCTCGGTCCTCAGTGATATTTATTTGACATTTATTCTGCAGAAGAAAATACATTATGCTACAGTATGTGTAGTATGAATTTGGCTTCTCCTTTTCAATGACTCAGCAATTTTTTTGTATAAAGTAAAGCTATGAGGCCAGATCCAAGTGATACTATTGGTACAATTTAACTTTTATCTTTCTTTAAGGAAGAAGTAGTTTATGCCAGAGTGGCCAAAACCCTGTCCTAGTATCAAGCTGGCATTGATAACTAATTACCCCCAGTCCAGAAGAACTGCAGGTATTGCAGGGCAGTGCACTTAATTACCATAATTCTCATCTGGCAGAAGAATCTCTGGGAACTGTTTTGGCAGGCAACTAGACTCAACTCAGAGCAACCCCATGACTGCTTTGACTTGTGTCACAAGTAATTCTCCAAGCCCAGGCAACATGGGAACTGAGTAGAAAGATGGCTCTGCTATAGATTTGCTTTCCCTGAATGAATGTGATATTTTTGTGTTCAGCAATTTGCAGGTCCCAAATTCAACTGTTTCTTGTGACAAAATAGTTGCAGCAATCCAGCAAAGCAGCATAAAATATATTTTTCCTATTTCAAGTATTTAAAAAGTGCTAAGTGTTCAGCTTGATCAATGGCAAATTTAACAAAAAATTATAGTTTTTCAGTAGTGTGAATTGCTAAATTACTGATTCTCCTTGGTGTGTACACCGTTTCAGGTGCTGTTGTCATACCTATACAGGGAACAAAACTATATCTTTTATTATGTCTGTTGTCCTTTCATCTTTTAATTTTTTTTCAAGAAGGCACTGAGTGTACAGTGGATTTTAAGACTTAGAGGAAGGAGAATCACTGTCCACAGAAGTTCAGCAACATTCCCCATGACTGGTGTCTAGCAGCAAGCTGAAGGTTCTGAGAATTTAGACTTCAATCTGCCTTCCAAGATCTCATAGTGTCTCCCCTCCACAATCTTGAAATGTCAGCGTCAGCTTTTCATGTTTGACCTGCACTTTTCAGGGTCTTCCCAGTTTGTTATGAGAGACCTTTAACATTCCAGTACCTTCTGATGATCTTTATACAGAGAATTACAAAAAAATTGTTTACCGAGACATGGTGAAAATAGGTATTCATTGCTATAAAAGTCGGTCACATGGCTGAGTGGCTCATAACTAGTCATCCAGCTGGAATTCATCTGCCTGCTTTGAAACACAACCTGCCAGAGGAAAGGTATCCTGGGCTGGTAATTTCTGGGAAGATGACCAGGCTGAGATAGAAAAAGGTCCCAGACCAATGAATCATTTGACATCAGGATGTGGTAGGATGGTGATGCTACATTTTATACATTTGAAAACTATAAATCTGCCTAGCTGAAAACTCCCTCTCTGAACCAGCTACTGTGTAGGAGTACTTTGAAAGTTCTCAGCCATGCAAAAGCCTCTACTAAAGTCCTAAATCAAAGCAGGTGTAAATCTTTTGGTAGTTCTGACTCCTAATCCAAAACTAGACCTGCCTCAGGAAATTTGGATTGCTCCCATACAGACCTAGCAGTGATCAAGTAGAGAATGCATTCGTCATATGGCAAATATGCAAGGGACAGAAACATTAAAGAAACAGGTAGTGGAAAAAAACTGTATGTTGAAAGGCATAAAGAATACGAAACAAAAAGAGGCCAGAGTGCTGTACCAGCACTCTATATGACCATCAGGGTCATATAGGATTGTGTGAGAGGAAAAAGAAAATACTTTGTTAAATGTCTGGAAAGACTTGGGTGACCTGATGTGTAGCTTTAGGACAACTAAAGAAAAAGGACAACTTAGAACTGCACCCTGAAATGAGTATGCATCCTGTAGAAATATTCGAGGATGTTTTCATTTTCCACATAGGAGATGGTACTTAGGCAAAAGTGACTGAGGGTGTATCTGGAAATGTCAGCTTGAAACAGTGGATAGACCAGATGGGACTCAAAAGTAAAGCCAACAGAGAAGACATAGAAGCAAAAACTCCAAGTGGGAAAAAACAGAGAGTATAAATAATTCCATTTGTAAGTGTTTCTGCAGTTTAAATGAAGCACTTACATATTTTGAAACATTAACTGAATGTTACTGATATATATCTGTAAGTTATTAAAGGGGAACCAAATTTTAAAAGAGAAATTACTTTATTTCTCTTTAAAATGCCCTCTATCCCAGTGCTGTGGCAGTTTGCTACCATTCCCTGAGCAGCAAGTTGGGCTGTTGCTGCTTTTGCAGCATTGCAGCGGTGATGTCTCTGCAGGAGATTTGGGGAAGGGGCCTGTATGTAAGGTACAGGGGAGTTGCTGGGTTAGGAAGGCCCTAGGTGGGAGGGGGATCAGAGGGAGCACAGGGAAGCAAGTGGAGTGATCAGTCGTTCCTGATTCTAGCCTTCATGAAAGAACTTGTTTTCATGTGCTTGGTCCATTTGTGAAAGTTAAAATGGCATCTGATTTGGAGACCTGGCATGTTTGATTAGTAAAAAACAACCGTAACAAAAACACATGATAATACTTAAAACACAGGCAGCTATTTTTCCATATTTATGACAAGAAATTGGGTAAAGGGATAAAATTTTCAGTATATCCTAAACATGAAAGGTTAATGTAATTCATGATGGAAGGCTAGGAGAAGAGATCGTGTGTAGCAGAACCTGTAAGGGTCCTCTGGAAGTTTTCACTTTCAGCACTGTGTCAGTAGAGTCAGTGCTCATGGTCACCAGCAGTGACAGTGAAAGATGTCAGGGTGAAAACAGAGCTCACAATTTACCAATCACCTAAAGATCGAGGAAGGCTTCCATGGATGTGTACCTGCTTCTCCTCTCCACCAAATCCTGGGTACTGGCTTGTGTAAAAGCTGCATGTTGCTAGTGTTCGCCAACACCCCGAGTCCATGCTTTATGAGTCATGCTCCCTGCAACAGAAACCCTTGAAATGTCAGTGCCATTTTAAACCCAGAGGTTTATCAATATGACTGTCTGATTAAAGCCAAGAGGTCTATCTGTCAAGATAACCCTGAATCTGTATTAAAAAAAAGAGAAAATTCAACATAAGCACTTCTGAGGTGTTTTTCTAGAAGCAGCAATGGCTATGCATTTACAGACAAAAGGCCATGAAAAAGTACAGCTTGGCTCCCTTAGCTCATAGCGGCTGCAAGTAGATGCTGTTCTAAGTAGAGGAGAAAATTATGCAACCTGGTGATAACTGCTTTCAGTTGAGGCTTTTTGTTGGGAAGCCTCAGTAGGAGTTCGCATGTGTTTCCTAGCAATGCAACATCGTACAGTGAGAAAAACAAGCAAAAAGGGAAATGTTTTGAAGATGAATCAGTTTCTTTTTGCTTTCACTGCTGACGTGATTACAGGGAGAGATTGCCCTGTTAACTATAACACCCCTCGATTTGAAAAGTCACATTTTCATCAAGCCCATTTATAGAAGCTGTCCCCCACAGATAATGTGCTAATGACTGGAGAGAACATTTGCTAAAAGAATGGTTCTGGCAGATGATGAATAGCGCTATGCAAGTGGTGGTAATAGCCCTAATCCCAGTTATTTTTAAAAAGAAGCGGTGCTATTGCTTGCTTTGTCTTGTCAGAGCCACATCTAGGCTCTGAAATCTAATATGGGTTATGTTCATCTCTACTGATTTATAATACACCTGACCATTGGTGTTGACCTGTGGTGACCTGATCTTCCTGTATTGTCTTTTTCCCTTGAGTGGCACTCCAGACTCAAATTTTTATTGCAGAACCACCAGAAACCCATTTTACATTTTACCTTGTACACAAAACCACAGGCTGCAGCCTATTTTAATAGTTCCTGACAGCATTTCAGGTACAGAGTAGGTACTTTCTGCTCCAGTGACTCATGTATTCATCCTTGGAGATAATTCCAAACATGGCTGTAAAAAGACCCCGAGCAGTCTGCTTTGAGCTGGGGGTTGGACTAGATGATCCCCAAAGGTCCCTGCCAACCTCAGCTATGCTGTGATACTGTGATATTTTATGCATTAATATTTTTTCTTCTGTACTTTGCAAGGAGTATTTGGAACGTGGTAGCAAATTCTTGCTGTGCAGCACTGGAAAATATACTCAGTCTGACTAAACAATCATTATATTATTGATGATCTACATCTATCATTATGACAAGAGCAAGAGAAGAGCTCAAAACAAGTGCAAGAAAGATTAATGACAGAGCTTGTTAGAAAACTCCTCCTTTATCTTGTATGAAAGACTTACACAACTAGCAGGATTTGTCATAGATCTGCATGCCAAAAAGAGGTTGGGTGCAACAGCAAAGGTGGCAAGGAAGATGTGCTG